TAATCGGTAAGTTCGCGAGTAAAGGTAGTGAGAACGAGTTTACTTCGAAAGAAATCGTCGTCCTGGTACACTTTCGCTGATTTTCTCGTATGATGTTTTAACAGACCCTTTTACGGTTACAAACGGGTTACATCAAACTCGATCAAACGGAATGAAATTTGAAAAAGGGCTTAAAAGGAGATATAAGGTATTTCCGTTAAATCTCAATGAAAGTTTCTTAAATAATATAATAATTGTTGTTACGACCGTTGCTGTGTGATATATTTCCGATATATTATAAAAAAAAAAAAAACATATAATTAATATGAATTTATTTAGTGTAAATTTAATCGCGAACATTTACTCGTCTATTTGCCCGTTATACAAAATAATATATATGTAAGAAAATAATAATAAAAAAAAAAAAAAAAGAAACAAGAAGTATATAAACTTGACCCAGTCTTTTTATAGAATAGTAGTGTTGTTCCACTTTTGTTACTGCATAAATATGCATTTCTTTAGATCAACTATCAAAAATTCAATTGAACCTATGATTTTGATCATCACGCGAGAAAGAACATGAACCACGTGGTGTGGTGGGTTGAGGTGAGGTGAGGTGGGGTTGGGTGGGGTGGGCATGCTTTGGTAGTCGCTTGCGTGCAAATGTTCGCGAGACTAAACATTATAATCGCATTAGAATTCCATTAAAAGATTTTTTTTTTTTTTTTCCTTTCTTTTTTCTTTCTTCTTCTTCTCCTTCTCTTTCTCTTTCTCGCTCCTCCTCCTCTTCCTCCTCATTCTTCTTTTCCTTTATATGTTTTTTTTCTTCTCACTAACGCGAGAGCCAAAACGTGGTACGTGGCACTGATTTCGAAGTTCTCGCGTTCGTTCTCTCGCAAATAATTATTTAATTTCTATCTAAATTTTTTTTTGCTTATGCGAAATATATATATATATATATATCTTTCGTGAAATTAAAATATCGATTTATTTTCTACGAGGGGAGGAAAAGAAACCAAAAGAATCATCATAATTATGGGCACACACACACATATATATATTTATGTATAAAATAGAAAAAAAGAAAAAGAAAAAGGAAGAAAATAATTTGAACTTTCCATCGGTTTGATCAAAATTTTTCCGCCACTTACATACCATTTGAACGAATCGTTAGCTGTCCTCTCGTCGGAGAGGAGAAAGTATGTAGTATGTACGCCCAGGAGGAGGAAACGGAGAAATACGTGAGGAAACGAGACACCGATGAAGGCTCTCTAGAGTCCACGTTCATGCATGCATGCATGCATGCATGTATATATGTGTGCATATATAAGAATTTGAAGTGAATCCCCGAGACTTCAGAATGAAGAGGATCACCAAAGAAAGAGAGAGAGAAAGATAAAGAAGAATTGAAGGATAAACGAGTAGAGAAATGGTAGGAGAGATGGGGAAGATGAAGAAGAAGAAGAAGAAGAAGATGATGAAGATGAAGATGAAGATGAAGATGAAGAAGAAAAAAGAGGTACAAAGGGGAGAATCATCGAGAGAGATGGTAGGGTAAAAGAAGAGGAAAGAGACTGACGATGATTACTACAGAGGAAAAGTGGACGAAGAGGAGATGAAAGAGGATGGGGTGGAGGAGGAGGAGGAGGCATAAAATAGTAAGAGAAGGAAGATGCAGGCAATTTCTCTCTCTTTCTCTTTCCACAACACTGGCTCGCGCATTCTTCCATCTCTTTCTATCACATTGCGAGATCCCCCAGCTTTCTCTCTCTCCTTTTCTTTCTCTCTCTCTCTCTCTCTCCTTTTCTTTCTCTCTCTCTCTCTCTCTCTCTCTCTCTCTCTCTCTCTCTCTCTTTCTCTCTCTTTCTTTCCAGAGTCGCCCCACCTCTTCCGCTGTCCGGCCAATTCCTCGTATTATACCAGGTTGCGGTGTGGAATGCGGGCGTCCTTCGTTCGCTTCGAGCAGCATCAAGCGATGAGCCCCTCTAGCGTTATCCTTCGTCGGACCTTCGCATGCGCACCTTTAGGGCTCGGTAAAATTAACCTGGAATACTCGACCGAGATGCTGACCGGGAACCCTCTCCTTGGGTTCTTAACCTGCTACGGATTCGTTAAAAGCGGATTTCGCTGTCGACTTTTACACATCTTCCACGAATATCTTCTTTTATCAAAGATATAGAGTACGTATATGTATCTTCATCGTCATCGTCGTCATCGTTGTCTTCGTCATCGTAATTATCGTTATCATTGTCATCGTCATTTCTTTTTTTTTTTTTTTACGATGTATGGTCAAATTATATAACAACGTTTTATTACTTATCGTTTTGTTTTTTTTTTCTTTTTATCTATCAGAAGAATGGAATCGATATCGTTTCATTATGAATAATCCCAAGTTGACCTAATTTCAATTATATTTCACTTTTTTCGATAAAATTTCAAATAATATAATGGCGATATCTATAGTTTTGTCGCGTCGATTATAAGTCGAGTTTCGTTAATACAGTTAGATTCGTTAATATCATGTTTCCTTTTAATTCTAGGAATGAATTTAGTACCGGTCCAAGAGGATAGTAAATTAAAATTGCTTAGAATGCAGAACGAACGTAACGTAAGTTAACGTTCTCTTCTATTCTAGCATGAGAGAATATAATGTCGATGGTGTTATTATTTTACTTTGACGAGAAACGTTCGGAAACGGTGCTTCTCGCGTCTCGTGTAAGAACGATTTTTCTTTTTTTCTTTTCTGCAGGAAGGTCAAGGCATCTAGCGGATTTGTGCTAGTACGAAATTTGCATTATACAGGGTGGTGAGTCACGTAATCTGTTACAAGACTCGTCGTCTCGTCTGTATCTTTTTTCTTTTTTTGATCGTGAAAGGTAAATGATTTATAAAGGCGAATCTTTTAAACATGACAGCGAGAGATCTCGATAATTTATTCATTCCTATAGAAATTAATTTTCAAATCTTCCTACTCGAACATTTTGTCCGATTGTGAGATATATTTACTTGTAACTTATCAAATGACATATCAACAAGTATGCAAAACGAAAAAGAAAAAGGAAAAAAAGTCGAGGCCGTATGCATAAGAATACAAAAAAAAGAACACATAAAAAAAAAATGGCAAGTAATATTCGCGAAAACACGATAGGAATACGCAAATATCAGTTCCACAAAATCAACCTGCATTCGTAGACGTAAATATTATTATAAATTCCGAACACAGTGATTACATTAAATACAATATAAAAAAAATGTGATCGATAGAGTCTAATTTGTTAGTTTTCAATTTTTTTTTTGGATAAATTTTTCATAAGAATGAACGTACGGTTTAAAAGGATTTGACGCGAGAAAGAATCTTAAGATTAGTTAAAGTAGTAGAGTAAAGGAAGAATGAAAGAAAGAAAGAAAGGAAGGAAATGAAAGGTAAGGAATGAGAAAGAAGAAGAAAAAGAAACAAGATATAGGAGAGAAAGAAAAAGAGAGAGAGAGAGAGAGAGAGAGAGAGAGAGAGAGAAAGAGAGAGAGAGAGAGAGAGAGGGAGAGAAAGAGAGAGGAAGCAAAAGATATTTGTGTTTACTATGCCTGTATACTTTACTACGTGTATACCACTAAGGTATACACATTCGATGAGAACGCAAGCATTCCCGTACGTTTGCTAGCGTACTAGCGCCTCTCTCTCTGTGTGTGTGTGTGTGTGTGTGTGTGTGAATGAACAAACAGGTATTTTATTCTAATGACGTTAGGTGCATTTTACTCGTAGTCTTTCTCGTTAAACTACGTATTTATACTTCGTGTTAGGAAACGAAAAGGTTCTATACATTTTCTACATTTCACCAATTCAAGCGAGCTTTATTAAAGCATATTATCTTCTTCCCATTAATTAAAATGATCAACTACGGATTTTTCACTCGGAACATTTGAAAAACCTTCGAGCCTTCCACACATCCAGATAGCTTTCCCGTTCGATTAATACACTATAACGGTGTTCCCCTTTACTCTCGTCATTCTTCTCCCAAGCTTCATAAAGTAGTGACCTCAGTTTACTTTTACTCTCTTATTAACGTACCGACCATGTCAAGGTACTCGAGAAACACCGAAGATGAGTAAGGACTCATTCCAAGACACGTTTTCACCGGTCTCTTTCAAAGATAAAAATAAATTCCAACACACAACGTACGCGCATACACATACATACACATAAACGTACATTTAACGCGTACACGCATACGCGCGCGCGTACAAATATTACACACACACACACAGACAGATAGTCTTGCCAAAAGATTAAATTTATGATAATACGTTAATGTTACATGAAATACCATTAATCGTTCGATTATACAACGAATAATAAAATATCATTTATACGAATATTTCCATCCCCCCATCGTTCCCTCTCTCCCTCCATTTTTACCCCAAGGAAAAAAAAAATTCCAATTTCTCCTTTGACAATATTATCTATATATCGAGATTGTTCAAAACCAAAAGAGAAAATAAAAGGACGAAAAGAAAAAGAAGAAGAAGAAGAAGAAAGAATTCCTTCCTCCCTTCCTCCCTCCCTCCCTACCACCCTCCCACCCTCTTCTTTTCCCTCCGGCGTATTGTGTAACGATAACGGAGGTAAACACCGGGGGGACCGTGCGGATACGTTGAACGTTTACCGAAACGTTCGCAAATCTCGATGGAATGCCGTCAGACTGGTGTTACCGTGCTCGCTTGGCAGCGTGCGCGCGCGCGCACACGTTTGCCTGTTTCACCGAACGACCGAGCACCTTCGCCCTCACCCTCACCCTCACCCTCACCCTCACCCTCGCCCTCGCCCTCGCACCGTCCTAAGGTGACACGAAGAGAGAACCCGAACACACCATCCTGGTGAATATCATCGTGGCTTACGGTGCTTACATAAGATGATGATAATGTCCGTTCATCCGTTCATCCGTTCGTTCATTCGTCCGCAGATCCCGTCCGAAAAAATTAATTCATTCCCAATGAATTATTTTCCTTTTATCGTTAATCGCGTTACCATTATTAATTATCTTGGACTTTGCTTATATTTATTCTCTTCTTAGTTTCCATTGTTATTTATTTTGTTTAAAATGCGATGAACAAAATCGTATCAATCAGACGTGAGTAGTTTTTCGTGTATTCTTCCTCTTTCGTATACTCGACGCAATTATCGGAGTCAACAAACGCAAATCTATCACGATTTCTTCTTTTTTATCGAAGAAAATAATTTTAGTCAGCCAGCTGATTATCCAACCGATTAATAAACTACTGACAAATCCTAGTGGACAATACCACATGTAGGATAATCGGTAGAGATAAAAAATAGAATCTTTGTTGTTAATCCTATAAATTGTTTATGTAGATTAATTAGATAATTTATTGAATTTATTTTAATTCAGGAATATATATATATACTTACTTATCGAATGTATCAGGCTTCATTATATTCTTATAGGATAATGAATTGTTGGTGCATCCAATTGTGGATACTGGCAATTTTGGTATCGGTGCTTTCGGTTGACCGAAACCAATCCAAAATGAGAAAGCCAGGCCAAGTATTAGTCCCGTGATAGCACCCTTTTGATTTCCCGTTTGAGTGAACATGCCCAATGTAAATGTACCCAATACTGGTCCTCCGACTACACCAAATATCGTTAAAGCAGCTTGAAGGAGTCCACCCAAGTGCTGTGCCAAGAACGCTATTCCTAAGCACATTGATCCAACAACGACTGCCAATACTTTGCTGGCAACTATAGATCGTGTCGATGACATTTCTTTGCCTTTGCTAAAACAAAATGAATTTATATAAATTTACTCTTAATGATTCGTTTAAATAAAATACCTTTTGTATCGATACAATGGTTTAATGTAATCCTCGAGAATGACTGCGGACAAGGAATTGACTGTTGCCGATACCGTGCTAAGTCCGGCACTGAAAATTCCAGCTATAAAGAGTCCAGGTACTCCAGGATACTTGGACAATGTTTCCATTACGTAAAATGGCATAAGTTGGTCGTTGGAAGTGATCCTTCCCGAGTTCAAGGGATCACAATCACGATACTTGGAATATATCGACAAGCCAGCAAAGCAAATGGTCAATGACATGATAGACGCTATTGGCCAACTCCACCAAAGAGCCCGTTTGGCCGCTCCCAGATTCCTGAAAGGTACATTCGCACAGGAGATAGATATTCTTGCTAAATCGAGACACGTCGATCTACAGAGATCAGATATATTAGAAATATATCAGAATGATCTTTTCCATATACGAATGAAAAAGTCCATATGAGATGGGGTGTGGGGGTGGGGGGAGGGCTACTTACTTGACAGTTAGCATTCTTTGAACTTGAACTTGATTGACACCGTACAAGGAAAGATAAGTGAAAAAACCACCAACCGATACGCTCCACCAAGTATGTCGTACTGTTGGATCAGGGGAAATGCTATTTTTTTTTTGTTCAAACGTAAAATAAATACAAACGAAATTAATATATATACATATATATATGGAGTATGCGAAATCAAACGATAGAATATAATCTATAATATGTGATAGATATTACTTATCAAATTCCAATCGCGATCCCTCATCAGCGATTTCCCAAATTCGTCCAAGGCCACCAACGTCTATTGCTGAAGTAACGATCACCGTGATAACTGCTATAATCATGAGGGCACTTTGGAATACGTCGGTAATGAGAACCGCCTTGATACCACCGATCGCCGAGTAAAACGTACAGACCAATCCGATGCCGATCACGCTCAAACTCCTCGAGATATCTGTCGTAGCTTCCAACGCGAGTGCCGGCGCGTAGAGAACGACGCCGGTGTACAAAAGAAGTTGAAGGAAAAAGGCGACGCTGGCTAACAACCTTGTCGGCGTACCGAAACGTTTCTGAAGATACTGCAAAGTGATCTCACTTTTAGATACGCCAATAAACGCAACAAGAACAAGACGAACACGACGGCTACGATAACAACGAAAAGGAAACAAAACAAAAAGCAACGATCAAAGGAGCAAATCGTTTGAGCATTTTTATCCTTAATCCATTTATTTATTTGCTTAGAGAATCTCGTATTACTAGAATTATATAATACTCAAATTCAAACGCACGCAGGCAGGCAAAGCAGGCAGGCAGGCAAGCAAATAAGCAAGCAAGCAAGCAAGCAGCAGACACACAGACAACAAACGTGGCATGATCCGTAACGGGTTTGCTTCTCTTTTCACGTGAAATAAGCGTGAAAATGATTCTCCTCGGGTATGTACTCACTTCGAAAGCGCTGGTGGCGTCGAGCTCGAAGAAAACAGGCAAGTAAAAGTAGACAACGAATGCAGTGGCTATGCCGTAGGAGATGTTTATCACCGCGTACTGAGAACCGTAAACGTAAATTTCCGAACTGACTCCTAGTAGGCTGACCGCCGACAAGTATGAAGCCATCAAGCCAATCGCTACCGTTAAGACGCTCATAGATTTGTTTGCTACGAAGTATTCCTTTACAGAAGAGATAGATATTTTCTTTTTTTTTTTTTTTTATATAATAACACCATTATTATACATTTGTTAATATCACATGACTTTATCATCACTCTTCCTATTACACAATTGTATTTTTCTTTTCTTTTCTTTTTTACCTCTGTCGATTTTTGTCGTCCACCTGTTAGCCAATAATAAACACCGATTCCAGAACTGATCAGAAGCATCACCACGATCACCACGTAATCCGCGGTAACCAACTTGGCTGCCATCTTGATAGCTTGAAAAATAATAAGATTTTGTTAATTTTAATATACACAATTCGAAAGGAATGAATAAAAATTCGTTTAAAAATAAAATATTTTGTAATATTAAAGAGGTAATACAATTTTTACGATGAATTGATTGGAAAATATCAGCGTCGATGATGATGATGATTAGAGAAAACAGATGTGTCCCAGCTGGTAATAAACTACATCTATAGTATCAGGAACATTGTACAAAAGTGTAGGAATATAATATCGCTTATCAGTGTATAAAACGTAGAGTGATGTTTATTCGAGAATCTGTTACAGATACGTAGCTTTTAATCTAATATGTAACCAGTTCATTAGTTAGATATTTCGAACTAATACCGAACGTCTCTTTCTATCGCGTATACTTTTAATGATTTATCTTAATTATGAGGTATTGTAAAAACATGAATCGAGAATACCGGTTTTGAACAATAACTCGAAGGAAAGAAGTTTCTCACATTCGAAAAAATAAAATCATGAAAAGTGAACCGCGCGCGTATCATTACGAGTCTCTCTCGATGGCTATCAGTTTTAAAAGAATTTTTTTTAAATGTAAGCCTAAGATAAGGGGAACACCTCGCGTTCGAGGAAAGTTTGATAAGCTATAGAATAATTTTCACATGTGAACTGCGATATCAGCGGGACATGATCGTTCATTCTTTCGTGGACTTTGAATTGGATCTTCCGGATCCAGTTTTGAAAAAGTGTACGTGATATGGAACAATAACCAGGGTGCATTAGTATAAATATAAATATACACATAAGATGCATGTATACGTATCTACGTACACACGTGTTTGTATGTATATGTGTATGTGTATGTATAGGTAGATATTTACTGCGGTTTTCTTTTTGAGCGAGCGAGCATGGGGTCGGTGATCGCGAAGAGAATGCTGTAGGGATGCAGGTTGAACGGCTGCGAAATGCGTCGCTGAGAGGTTCGATGAGGCAAGAGAGGAGAAAAGAGAGGAGGCCAGAGAGAGGAGAGACCGGCTTTTATAATGGCGAAGCAGCTATGCGGGTAACCGAGTAAAAGTATGAACAACGTGGTGCACCGGGTCCAAGTGGTGGTATATCCAAATGGAAACGGGGGTGATCCTCCCTAAAAGGGTGTTCACGAGAAGAGAGGGAAAATATCGGATTTACTTTCGTGAAGGGATTGGGCTAGGAGGTTTTATTCTTCATCATTCTTCTTATTCAATAATGAATTCGATAATTTCTTTGGCAAAATCTTATTGTTAATAGTTGTGTTAAGTTTTGGAAGCATGCATGCATGCAGATTATTTTAACAAAATCTTACATTAATAGCTGTATTTAGTTTTTCTTTAGGGTATGGTTAGAGGCAAGGTAGACATCAATGAACGTGATAATGACATTAGGTTATTTATATATGTTTCAGTGTGGACGCTGGACGTAGCGGCGACGAAATGAAGCATGCAGCATGCGTGGTAGCGGTGTCACGGCTGCGCGGTCTTGCCTTCAACCTCTGGTGTCCGCCAGCCGCTACCTCGCTGTGCACGCCCTCCCTGGTGATCCTCTTTACTTCATTGCCGAGGTAAAACAACAAATGTGATATTAATTATTAACAAGATTACCGTAATCGAACATCAATTGAAAACCTTTTGGGTAACAACTAAATTCTGCGCCGTTCATTCTACGCGAGTACATTGGAATGAAGTATATTTCACGATTGAATTATCATTATTCTTTCAAATATATTGCACATATATTTAACACATTAATTAATTCATTTTAATAATTAATAATACGTTTTAAAAAATGATATCACCAAAAGCCATTATAGTGGAGTGTCGTGCCTAAAAGGTTAAGAATATAAACAGAAGATCTATATTATCTCTCTTATCTCTGTATTAATGCACCCTTAATGCAACATAAGATGAAATTATTGATATGTTTGTTAATACACAGTACTTAACGATATTATATAAAAAAGTTGATATATAATTAATAACTCCTATATGAATAGAGGAGAGGTATTATTACTTCCTGTTACCAAGAATATATTGATTTTTTTACCACGGTACAATGGTAAATACGAAAAAGTACAACACAAGTATATTGTTCGTATCGTATTGTAAAGGATAAATTGTTCATGATAAATCGCCTGGGATCCTGAACGAGATTATTCCCAGCATAGTTCGTCCCCGGTCGTACGTAGGATACTACCACCACCACCACCTACCCACCCCAATGTTCTTCTTCTCTTCTCAACATCTTACGCTCGATAGTAGCGTAACTTTCTCACACGATAAAATCTATCTAATTATAACGAGAGAGAGAGAGAGAGAGAGAGAGAGAGAGAGAGAGAGAGAGAGAGAGAGAGGCTCGTTTGTAAATAACAAATTTAGATTCCGACTCTATTCAAGGAAGTTCTTTCTTCTTTACTCGATCGTCCATCCTGTGTGCTAGTCAAGATTAAAAGTATATCGACCTCGAATATTATTATCATCATCATCATCATCCTTGAAGTATATTTCGAGTCGAATTCTTCTTTTCTTTCCCTCTTTCGGAAGGAGGAAGAAGAAGAAGAAGAATAAGGAATTATTTGAAAAAAAGGGCTAATCCCTCGGGTGGATAACCGAAATTAAAACCCAACGAAAAGAGAAAAAGGAAAAAGTAAAAGAAAAGAAACACGCCCTTGTGCCGTGTAGTAGATCGGATAGAACGATTTTATGCTCGCGGGGATTTGTCGGGGTGGATCGGTGTTGGCGTTGGAACGCTTCGGAGGAATTCAAAATATTCGATAAGAGACGATAAATCGTCCTCCTACCTTAGCGCGCGCGCGCGCGCTCACACGCATTCCACGGTCAACATTTACAAGACGACGGTCTACCTACCTACCTACCTACCTACCTACCTACCTATCTACCTATCCACCCTAGCAGGGACAAGGAAGGGAACTTTTTAAATGCATTCTCGTCCCTGAGATTTTCTCGCTTTTCTACGACAACGTACATACTCGCATAATCATCACCTTTAAATTTTCTCTATTTATTTCTTTATATAACTTTTGATATGTATATTCATTTAGATTTAGCAAAAAGAAGAAACAAAAACAACAACAATAAGAAATAACGTTTAATATTGAAACTTTAATCGTTCGTTTTATCTTTATCGTTATAGGCTAAGTCAAGAGTGAAGGAGGTATATGCGCAGACATGCATGCTTCTCGGTCAGCAGGGCATGCGAGATTGCGAACTCTTCGGATTGGCCATATTATCAGGTGAGTAAAACTTTCCCTATTGGCAACCCTAACTAATTTCTTCACTTATTTCAAATACATTTTAACTATTATACTCCTCAGATTATTTTACTCGTACATTTATCCCTTACATTTATTCTCATTTATTTTATCCCATATAAAATTCCTCCATCAGACAATCCAAATATATTATACACAATAACAAACATAGATAGGATTCACAATTATTGTACAATAAAATCCAAACTTTGTTAATCCTGATACTCCAGAAAACTTCCTCCAATCTCCTCTCTCCCGAATCCCTGACATATTAATAAATTTAAAAAAAAACACAGAAGACGAATAAAGGACGAATGGTCGTCGGCTAGGGTAAGGAAAAAAAAAATGTGAAAAAAGGGGAAGGAGGATAAAAAAAAAAAGGGAAAGATGGATATAAAAATTTGGTTAATCTCGTGGGTCTTTATGCATACCAAGATTCATTCTCTCTTCCTCCCTTCGTCGCGTCTATCGTCACCCGCCACCCTTCGGCCTTCTCCTTTTACCAAGAGAGAAAGAGAGAGAGAGCAGCGAGACGAGCCGGTTCGACTGGTATCCCCCCCACCAGGTGGACCCTTCTTGGACTTTACGGAGCCCTGCAAACCCCTCCATTCTACATTCCAGTGGTACCCCATCACGGTGAGGCAGTGCTGGCAGGTTCTAAGGCGCGCGAGCCATACCACGAACTTGAACGTGGAAAGGGAGAGGGAGAGGGAGAGGGAGAGGGAGAGGGAGAGGGAGAGGGAGAGAAGTAAAAAACGAAATATCTACTTTTTCCTTCCTATTTCCTTACCTTTTTTGTTTTTTCTTTTTTTTTCCTTTTTTGTTTTTTCTTTTTTTTTTCAACGAGATGAAAAGAAGATATAGTCGGCAAACCTATATATATATATACACAAGCTTCTTCTTTCAAACTCATCGAGGTAGTAACCCTAATCAACATTAACGTCGATACGATTAGATCATTTTATCTCTTTGGAAGTATATTCATTCAATTTTGTCTTACGTATTCTTATTTTCATATTATTTTTTTCTCTCTCTATCTTTTTTATTTCATTCCTAAAGGATTTTTATTGACATATAAAAACAAGAGTCTCTATCGCGTTAATATCTTTTTATTTCCTACTACTGTGTATATATATATATATTCATATCGATATATAATTGCAATACACACGGGATACTAAACACGAAAGGCTGATAGTTATCGTTAACTTTATAAGGATCATCATCGTCTCTTTCATCATCGTTATATTGCCTATCTTACTATCTATCTTTCTTATCTGTCTATCTTGAAAGAAAGGGAACGAAAATGTAGGATAAAGAAAAAAAAAAAAGAAAAGTATATAAAATATTTTTCATATTACAAATGGATTTGAATAGGTACGTACGTTAGTTCGTAAAGAAAACAATCTGAAGTAAAGGATAAATGTCTCGCTTCTCATTTTCATCCAGTACCCCTTCCCCCTCCCCCAAATTGATACACACAAAAAAACGAAAGATTAATATAATAAAAATAAAAATGAAACATAAAAAAAAAGAATTAAAAGTGCAAAAAAGAGTGGCAGGAGGGTGGGGGGGGAGTGAGGGGCACGAGGATAAGGAAGAAGAATAAGAATAAGAAGGTGGATAGAAGTGAGTAGGTTGTAAGAGAAATAGATGGAAGGAGAAATCGAAAAAAAGAGGAGTGAGGGAGAGGGAGAGGGAAAAGGAGAAGGAGAGTCAGGTACAAAGAATAGAAAGAGAAGCAACGCGATAAATGAGGGAGATAATAGGCTGCCTTAAGAAAGAGGATGCAAAAAACAGAGGTAGTGGAGAACGACCAGAAAGAGAGAGAGAGAGAGAGTAGAAGAGAGAGGAAGAAAAAGTAAAAGATAGGCGGGAAGGGCTCGAGAAAGAAAGAAAGAAAGAAAGAAAGAAAGAAAGAGAAGGATCCCCGGGTAAGACGGTAGCTCGGTGATTTGTATAGGGCCTCTCGTATTCCACCTACCGCCCTTACGTCCCCACCGCACGGCGTCTCCGAGCCCAGGAATGTGGAAGGAGGACTACTCTCTCGGAGGACGAGAATCGTCAGCGTAGAACGGCGGCTGCGGCCTTACGGTGGTAGGCGAAGGGTACAGGGAGGATACAGGGGAGAATACACGGAGAGAGAAAGAGAAAGAGGGGGCCCCATAACGCGCTTGCTTGTAGCTTCAGAGTTTAACAGGGAGAGAAAGAGAGAGGGAAGATATCGGAGGGCCCCAGCAGGTCCAGCGGATATACACCTCGTCGGAGCCAAGCCTTCTCCTTCTCTTCATCCTCATCCTCATCCTCATCCTCATCCAAACGAACGAACGAGAACCCTTTCTGTGTGCGTGTGTACGTGTACGTATACGTGTGTGTGTGTTACGAGCAACCTCAACGTCCTTCTCTCCCTCCTTCTCCCTTCATTCTTTCTTTCTTCCTTTTTCACCCTTCATTCTTTCTCTCTTCCTTTTCCACCCTTTTCATTTTTTGTTTTACTTTATTTTTCTTATCTTTTCTTTTCTTTTCTTTTCTCTTACTTCCTTTTTCTTCTTCCCTCCTTCTCTCCCTTTTTCTTTCACTCTTCCCTTCCTTCAATCTTCCAAACCTTTCCTCCTCCTCCTCCTCCTCTTCCTCTTCATCCTTCATATTTTTTCGTTATTTTTCTTTCCTCCCGTTTTTTCTTTACTTTTATCTTTTTGTTTTTTTTTTCGTTCGTATAACAGCGTCCTTTCTCCATCAAATCTCATAAACAGGCACCTCTTGCGTCAATTGCTAAACGTCAGCAGCAACGGGCAAAGGTCCTTCCTTCCTTCCTTCCTTCCTTCCTTCCTTCCTTCCTTCCTTCCTTCCTTCCTTCCTTCCTTCCTTCCTT